CTGAAGTTCCATGAACCCCTCCTGGAGTGAAGGGGATGGATGTGGTGTTTGTGGTACAGCCCTCCTCTTAATGACCCTTTGCCCCCCTCCCCCGGGCTCTGAGCTCATGACTTATAGATGACACCAGCTGTGTTGGCTCAACTGTAAATATAGTTCAGCTCATAAGTGAATCGTGTGGGCTGATTGTGGAGTGTGGTGGGCTCGTACTAATGCCGGGGGGAGAGGGTTTAAATGGTGTTTTTCTTTCCTGCTCTGGGCGAACTGAAGTTTGTTGATGCTGTTGTGGTTGTGGAAACAAATTTTAAAAAAAACAAAACAAAAAAAAAAAAGTAAATTTACCTACAATTATAATGATGGTTATAAATATTTAGCCATGGATCATTTGCTATCTGAAATTTGTATATATACACACACACACAATTTTTTCTTTATATATATATATATATATATATATATATATATATACAATTTTCAGATAATGCCAAGACAGGCAATTCAATATTTAATGTCTAATTATATTTTACTATTTTTTTTTCTTTTTATACATAAAGACATTTAATTTCCTTTTAAAATGATTTCACCCTGTGTGTTAATACTTTACTACGTCAAGATATTACTTTATTTTAATTTCCATAACTACGTGTAGTCTCGTCCCTCCTCAGGTAACTACTGCATTTTCTTTGGCACAAAGGAAACGAGGACACCTGTTCACATTAAATATAAATCATTTTATAATATACAAATTGTACAGATGTCAAGAAGCAACAGTAACATGAACAAACTGAGGAACGTGAGATAGCGAAGAAAGTTTTCTTTACTGCTCTGCATCGACAACATCACGTGATCAAGGATAGTCAACAGCCAGAACGGCGAATATCTGACATTGTCCGATAAAAAAAACGAAACAAACAGAAACCATAGAATATGTTTTCCAGATGCTGCGTTCAAGCCAAAGTGACAAAACGGAAAAATATAAAGATGCTAATCTAATTCATCGTGTTCTGTCGTTTCTATTCTGCTTACTTCACATCATCGGAGCACACAGGAAATGAACCATTAATGGTTTTTTTACAGCATTACTAAGAACGATTGCACCAGCGCCACCACTGAGCTGAGGCTCAGATACAATTATGCTGATAAAGTACAGAATACTGCACATTATTTTTTTTAACACAAATGAGCAAAAGATTGCAAACGTATTTAAGTCTAAGGCTAGATAAAGTTTCTTGTTTCAATGGGTGGACGAGTAAACACGGTTCCACATCATTTAACTGATAAAGTGTCTTATTCTGCCTCACTTTTCTCTCCCTGTCTTCCCTTTTTTCTGTGACACCAGTCCCTGATCAGGGACAGTTAGAGTCCCAAGTTCATGCTGGACACAGTAAAGAAGCGGTGGGCAAACATTTTGGCTGACGGGGAAAAAAAATACAAAATTGGATGTAGAATGCCTGGTGAAATAATAATAAACCTAATCTTTAAAGAAAATTTAGCATATTAAATGTCTGCCTTCTAGTGGCACCAACTAAAATTACAGTTGATTTGTAGTAATGCATGAAACCGAAAGATTGATCGGTCTTCAACATAAGTTTGATCAGTGGTTGGCTTAGAAAGTTGTATTAGAAAGCCCAGTGGGCCGAATCTGGCCCACAGGCCATAGTTTGCCCATTTTTGCAGTTGAGGGTTGTCTCTAACTTGTGTCAGGGCCTTGATCGAGTACATAGAAAATATGACATTTCTAAATCACATGTGAACTGTATAAGAAATGGAAGCATCCTTCTAGCAAAGGTGAAACAGGTTTAAGTAAAGGTCAAAGGTCAGCTTTTCTTAAATCTTAGTGAATTCAGATTTAGCTTTTTTTCTTATAGATTCTTCTTAATAGTGTACGGGCTAAATATATACAACATATTATATAGGCATCTTAATCTTAATGTCCCAAAAGGCCCCAAAATGTATGACAGGCATAAATTAGCCATAAATGTTAGCTAAAGTTTGATAAACGTCAGCTAAAGTTAGCCAAGCTATGCATTTCAACCGAAACATCTAAAAGATAGTAGAAAGGAACTATAAGATATTGCAAGAAAGAGTTATAAATTGGCAAAAAAATAAGCTAAAGTTAGCCAAGAAAAAGACAGTCATCGATTATCTTAGCCAAAAGATATTAAAGATTCAAAAATAGCAACATTTAGATATGTATTAGCCAAGCAACATCTTGGAATAAAGGTTAACCAAAAAAAAAAAAAACCAAACAAACCACAACAAAAAAGGTAGGAAAATATATTATTAAAGCAAAGTTGTACTTGTGGTATATTTCTGAGTCTTCACATTTGCCAAAATGTACTATAAGAAATTTATGAAACGATTTATTATTCTAACTGAAATCTGAATTTGATCTGACATTTCTTGTGGCAGCTACTAAAGAGCTACTTCCATTTCTCATACAGGGTCTGTGGTCACATTACAGAGTTTATTTTTAATAGAATGTGTCCTTATGATGAAATACCTTTTACCAAGATTCCAGAGGGGAATGAATGTCACAGCTCCAGATTATAATATCAAAAAGAAAAGACGTGGGAGAGAAATAAAATCAATTCATATCCAACTGACAGGCGGCAGGTGAAATGTTCATGTGAGGCCCAGAGGGAACCAAAGAAATTGATAAATTTGATTAAATATGTTTGCCAGGATTCAGTGGAGGAAATATCTCTTCAGCCAGCAGGAGGCGTGTTTCTGCCTCCATTTTTATTTGTCCAATGTGTTACACTGACATCTGAGTGATTCTTATACTTTAAAAAAAATAAGTGCATTTAAAGCTAAAAAATAAAGAACATGATGATGAAAAATTGAAATTTAAATACAATATCATAGTGGTTATTTGTCATGTGCTCCTCTACGTGGAAAATCAATTCAGGTTCAAATTAAAACCCTTGATTCTTGTCGGCCATTAGTTACGAGCTGATGGACAAGACGCATATATTTAACCTTGGTTTAAGAAAATGATGACACAGCCTTTAGGAGGTAGCTCGAAGCTTCACTTACATTTTTTTTTTTGTTCTATTTTTTTTTTGCAAGCTTTAGCAAAGCAGCAGAGCTGACACAAAATTCACCATTAAAGAAAACAAAATTGACTTAAACAAAAGAACAATTACAACAATCTGTAAGAAAATGGTTAACACTGAGAAAGGATGAGTCCATGACATGACATCACCTCCATGTAACTTCAATTGTCAACAATGAAAAAGATGACGAAACAACACTTTCAAGGTAACTTACTGTAATCAGCCATTATTAGTAATTACTTTGTGATAAGTGTGATATTAATTGGAAGGTTTTGTTAAATAGAGTAAATTAATTTAATTTTGTTTTGTGACACTTCTAGTCATTATTAATGAGATTTTTCTTATTGTAAAATATTTAATCTCATTACCCAGTTTGTCATTGCACTGCATAATTATCGTTAGTATTGAGACAGATTGAGGTATCTCACATATTTGACTTGGGAGTAAAAATGAATGTTAAATGTTCAGTATATAGCAAAATATATAACCATATTTTCTGGATTATAAGTAGGTCTGGAGTATAAGTCGCACTAGCCAAATAATGAAAAAAAAAGTGACTTACAGGAGTAGCAGATCCTGGTGCACAAGCCTTCAGTGCCCTCTAGCGGCTGTCAGTGTAAAAAATAACAAACATGTAAATTTTCAGTGGTACAGGAGAAGCAGATACTGGTACACAAGCCTAGAGTGCCCTCTAGTGGCTGTCAGTGTGAAAATAACAAAGGTGAAATTATATGTATATTTAAATATATACTGTAAGTTGCAAAACCAGCCAAGGGATGAAAAAGAGAAAGTGCGAGTTATTGTCCATTAAATATAAAATATGGTAGTGGGCAACAACATTGCAAACAAATTATTTTTGCATTTGCAATTTTTTTACACAGATCTAAATGCCTGATTATAATAACGACTAATACTTAACTTAATTACAGTAAGTGACCTTAAAATTGTATCATTTTTTTTCATTTTAACAGTGCATTTTGAATCTTTTTTTATCCCCTCCATTGTAGTTTTCCAGTAACAAAACAGGGAACAACAACTTCAAAATACTTCGACTAGTAACAAACATATAACATTGATAATAATCACCATTGTGCTGCTACATGGGTTTTCTAATAGCAAGTCTTGGGCCATTTACAGTATGTTTATATAAGGCTACACTGGTCACAGTTTGTCTTTTTTCAGTTTTCTACTCTACACAAAAACATTTTGCCATTATACATTGAGGAGAAATCCTCAGTGGCAGAATTTGTCTCTCCGTGAAGGTAAAAAGGAGAGCACGTATTTCCCATAATCCATCTTACTTGTGTGTAATTGAAGAGCTTCATCTCCAAAAGGAGACCCAACATATCATCTGTCTTCATAAAACAAAAGATCCAGATTATGACAAATTGCAGTCTGAACACAACCAGACAATTTAAGCTCTTGATTCATGAAATGCAAAAAGAAAAAAAAAAAAAGTAAATTGTTTTTGTTTTTGTCTGCTGCTATGTTTGAGGATAAAGTCCAGGGAATTTTTCTGAGAATTGTTGCATTTCAAGCACAAAGGTGTGTGGCTATCAGTTCACCCCTAACATACAGTAAATGACCTACGTCGTAAGTGCACAACCCCCGACAGATTCCCTGCTAACAAAATCCATTAGTGAACTAATGAGAGTTCTATACTCCAAGTTGACCCCCTCCCTTATTCACATCCTCCCCATCCAACATAAATGGAAAAACTATGTGATGCAGTGAAACGTGGCGTCATGACTGTGTTATTGTCAGAAATGATGTCTGGCGCTCGGAGCTCCAGCGAAGCCGGAGGTGAAAATAATGGAGGAAATCTCTCCGGGTGTCTCCATAAATGAGCCTATTCATTTCTTTTATTTGACTCTTTTACGCCTCTCCGCTCTCTCTCTTTTACTCTTAACCTCCTGAATTTCTTCCACTCAGACTTTTATTGTGTTTTTTTTACAATCATATTTTCTTTTAGTTTCTTTTTGTCCTTGTTTTCGTCTTAAGTTTATATATATTTGTTTAAATATCTTTTGGCTAATGCAAAGTTATTTCTGGGCTAAACTGCTACATGACAACAATCATTCTCAAACGACTCGACTTGAGACGCAAATGGAGTGCTAGATAAACTCCAAGCATTAACACATTTACTTAGTGCATAACAGACTCTTTTGTTTCATTGTCGATGGAATTAAATCCACAGCAAGCGTACTTGCCACACAAGGCTTACTTTGATTCTGAAAATGCTTTTCTCCAGCATATAAAAAAATCTGTTATGGCATCAGCTTAGAAATTACAATTACAAGTACAAGGAATACAGCCAACATTAGCTAAACTATAGTCTGAACCTAACTGACAAGAAATAGATGAAACTGAAATTGAAAAAGCAAATCATCAACACCCCAAAACTAAAGTTGGACAACAGATAGCTAAAGTAAAGTAAAAAGACCTGCAAAAATGGTAAAAACCAACATAGCTAAGAAATTGCTTAAAGAAAAAAAATTATATGAATATTAAGCGAGATATGAAGAATAGTTAGGATTAGTTAGACTAGTTTGGAAAATTCCACAGAAACCCTAACCTAAAACCCTAGAACAAAAACAACAAAAAATAACCCCCCCAAAATCTGAACCCTAATCCTAAAAAAAACAAAACAAAAAACCTTACCCTAACCGGAAACAAAATAACAAAACCCCTAACTCTAACCCTAAGAAATTAAAAAACAAAAAAATAACCCTAACCCTAAAAAAAACCCTAATGCTAACCCTAATACAGTTGCAGTAGTTAGAAAAAGCCCAAAGATAAGAACTAATAATTAGTCAGATGCCCAGAGATTGCTAAAAGATTAGCCAAGAGATAGATTTTTATAGAATTTGATAAATCAGTGCTTTAAAATCTATAAAAAGTAAAATAAATGTATTTAAAAAACACAAAAAAAATTCAAAAACATGGGCTGATGGACCCTTACAGTAGACTTGTGAGTGCCATGGAACCATAGTTGTGTATCATTCAGGTTTTGCTGAAGTTAACTAAATACCCTAACATTAACATTAACCTGATGTGAGAATTTCAAGGGCAACGTCAGATATTTCCAGGACACAGAGAATTTCCCTTTTGTTGTTTCGTCCATTCTCTGACATGTGAATAAAAATGCAACTTTCTGCAGAAAAAACAAAATCTCCTTTCGGTGTGAAGCAGAACTTTTAAAGGTGAACTCTGCCCTTAAGCTTCTCACATTCCCCTGAACTCCACCTCCTTATCTGCCTGTGTCTTTGAAAGAGCAACAATCTGTAGGGGTAAAGTGAGTTTAGCACATTAGCACGCTGTACCAAAGAGTGAACGCCTGCTCTCTGTCGAGCGCTTGACGGCTTAGAGCCCAGCGTAAACAATTATCTCTCCGACTTACTTTGGATTGCCTGTCGCAAACAAACAAACAAACAAACATAGAAACAGCTTTCCCCATCACCTCCACCAGGGTTCTCCTTCAGATTTCCTTCACATGACCACATCCTCTGATGAAGTGATAATGTGGAGCTTGGCTCTGATCCAACTTGCCCACGTGCTAAGAATATATGAGGAAGGTTTACGCCCAGTCAGTGGATGAGAAGAATGACTTGAGTCGCCACAGCATCAGAACCATGAACCGTGGATGATGAAGCCGTTCGACTCCGGAGCTACATCCATACTGTATTGTTTTTATTTGACACATATCCTACTGGTTCCAGTTGCTCACCCGTGCAGCCCAGCTGTAATAAACCAAAACCATGGGGGCAGAGTTTCACCACCAATAGGGTGGACTTAACAAATAGTTCTGTTGTGAGAGGACTGGGACTAATAAAATGTTTTCCACTCATTTTTCTCAAAATATCTTTACATGTGCACTGCAATTAAAAAGGCTTGTAAACACCATGTGTCTGAAACACTAATAACCACCCTAGTCTTCGGACTTCGGAGTTATTGTGTTGAGTGTCAAGGATTCATATTCAGAATGATGGTGATAGCAAGTGAAATTCCAGATAATTATCATCTGGAATTAAAAGCCCCCTGGGTTAAACTGTTTATATTTTACGACAGAATAGACCGTAGATGTTCACGTTAACAAGTTACTGATTGTGTACTACTTGATATATTACCTTGACTACGGTATGTTAAACGTATGTTACAATATCACAGAGTGAAAGTCTCCCCGTAGAGTTAATCTTTTGTAACTGCCAGGCTGCAGGAGCAAACAACTAGTAACCAGTAACCAGTGACATAACCAGGTCCAAATTGAACTAAATGTTCTTCCTGCTGGAAACACTCAGTGACATCAAGCAACGGCGAACGCGTCGCCAAAGTTCTTCATTGAATTGCAACCCTTGTTTTTAAAAGGCCTTGTTACATTGAAGCGAGTGCCCACATGGCAACTGTATCTGCAACTGTTGTCATGCTGTTTTTCGATTTTTTTTGTTTTTTTTTTCAACAGTCATCACACCGACCCCACACTGACAATAACCTGACTACTGCCTTTTGGGTATACTGTATATACTGTACATTCAGTATGTGTGGTAATGCCTTAGGACTTAAGTCTAAAGGTCTGAGGAATGTTTCTGTGGCTACACTGTGGCAGGTTCTGTGAGCGTTTAGTCTGGTCTGGTCAATACTGCAACGATTGGGATCAAAGCCCCGTCAATTCAGATCAGGAACAACTCTGTGAACCGGACCGTGGTTGTGGGAATCAAGAGGTAGGACGGAGGGGAGTGAGGCTTCGCTTGAAGCTACTCTTGAGTTCCCTCTGGGCTTTGACTGATCAGGTCGGCCTGGGAATCAGCCTCCATGACCTTCCCAATGACCTCCACACCTGTCGGCTCTTCCTCCTTGTCTTCGATGGGGTTATCCTCGGCGTCAGATGTCTCGTCGTGAGCCTCCACACCGTTCTCAATCACAGCTTTGACCTCAGCTACACCAGACCCCTTCATTTCTTTGGTCTTGTTGTCAGCGACAACATTTTCTTCCACTTCCTGTTCTTCTTTTTCTGCCTGAGGCAGTTGGCTCTTCTTCGATCCCTCTTCCTCAGACGTGACCTTTCCCGTCTCTTTATCATCTCTGTCTTTTTTGTCCGTCGCCTCCGTTTCACTGTTTTTCTTTTCAACATCCTCTCGGCAGACTTCAACCCCGTCATCGAAGTCCTCGCACCTTGATCCGCTCTCCTTCAGTGTACGACTCTCGCCCACTTCTCTCGTGTTTTTCGCCTCCTCCCTTTCCTTTCGTCCGCCGTCTTCCTCTGTATCTTTTCCAGCATTTTCTTTGTCGTCTGCAATCCTGGCGTCTTCTTCGTCCCTGTCACTTTTTGCCTTTTTCTTCTTCTTGTTCTTTGCCGTCTCTTTGATGCAGGTTTTGTTGGACTTGCCTCTGGGCTTGAAGATCAGCTTCTGAAAGATTTGCATTAGTCATGTTAGGCAGATTCATTAAGACTCTGAGTTAGACACATGCATTTGGGCACAATGGCCTACACACAGGCTTAATTAAGTATAGATTAGAGTGGACCCAATACAGCACTTGGGGAAGATGGCAATTTCAAAGCAGACTCACTGATGCAAAGGAAGGAAATTGAAACCATTTTTTAGGGCAGATATTGATGGCTTAAGGGCTTTATTCTGACCAAACAAACAGCAGGCTATTTATTGTAAGATGTCCCTCAATTACAGCGAACAACCTCTGGAGTGATGGACACACTGCAGGGGTGTACTGCAACACTGAAGGATTTTTATTGGATTTTTAGAGTGGAATGTGAGGTCTTAAAAAACAACAACATCTGTTCGACAATTTACTTTTACACAGTTTTGTCAGAGTGGACGATAAAGTTGGTTTCTCTTTCAATATTCCTTTATGTTATGTATGGAGACTGTGTTTCTTGGATCATGGATCAAGAAACATGGATATTGTTGGCACATGTTTTTTATCACATAGCTTTCACAAGAAATCAAAGAAATATGGGCTGCAAATATTAACAGAAGAGCCCAAAAGGCCAACAGTGATTATAATACAGTTCCTGGATCAATGTTACTGCAGTATGTTTGTCAGTTATTCTACAGCAGTCTTAGTTGTATCCAAAACTTGAGCTGAAAAGTACCTAAAGAAAAAAGGTTTTTCTTGGTTTGATACTTTTACAATAAAGTCTATGGGAAAAAAACTCAGCAGTATTTACTAGTAACAAAACTAAGTGCAAATATGTTATTTTATAGGGTTTGGAAATATTTGAAGGATTTTTTAGGATTAACCTTAGAGCATTTACTTTGTACGTAAAACCTTAATTTTGCTTTATGGAGTTTGGGGGGAAAGAAAACAGGTCATTGTATACCTATGAACTGTATGAACTGATTTTGTTTTTGTTCCACAACCATCATTTCAGTCCAACGCTCTTTATTTTAGCTGAACTATCTCTCTACATGGGGTTTTAAGAAACAGCAGATTAATGATTAAACTACTACATTTATTATTCATTTTTAACCTGTACAAAACCATGTCATAAATAAATCTAATTAACCTTCTCACAACCTAAAGACATTGTTTGACATGTGAGAAAGGGAAAATAGAGAGGAGGAATCTGTGGTCACGTACCTTAGATTCCTTTTTCTTCCGGCCCATCACTGGTCTCTGCAGGAAAACGATCTGCTTGGTGGACAGACTTCCATCACTGAGATGATGAAGAAAGGGAGAGACAAACAGAGCAGAGAGATGAGCTTAGACGTATGACGGAAACAGACATGCATTCTTCATTGCTCATTGCAGGTTCCTGTGATCCACGCTCTGTCTGACCTTCTATCAGATAGAGAAATAATTAATGGTCACCGATCAGACGTCACACTTTTATCTGACACTTTAAGGATAAATGCTCACATTTGTGGACTTGGGCTTTTCTCTGCTGTTATCTGTCTCCATAATGTTCATTTCCCATTCTACCTTAAAGTTAGTTAAAGTCACTGAGACCCGAAGGACTGCACGAGGATTGGACCGGACAATATTATATTTTCACTGCAAATAATACGTCAGAACAATTATATATTCTTCCACTAGGTGGCAACAGATGTCCATAATAATTAAAAATGAGTAAAAATCAGAGTTGAGAAAGATCTTTCTTCAATTCCTGAGAGCAAATCAATGTAGTGCTCAACTAAACAGACCCAGGTTTCAAACAAGTGTGTGGGTGAACTCAAACTAAAAGATTTCATTACATATACTTGATTTTCCTGTTTGGTGGTGCATGTTCTAATATATATATATTATATATATTATATCGATGTGGTAATATAAAGGAGCCAATGGACTGAACCCAAACCTGTGATAGCCCACACCATTTAGTTTTCTTTTTTTCTTATTTCCTCTTGTCAGCATCTTTTAGTTGTCTTGGTTAAGCTAAACAATTATTGTTTATTAATCTTGTTTTAAGTGAATTACATGTGATCCTTTGGCAAATATTTGATTATTTTGGGGTTTACATTTGCATACTGCCACTAGTATTTACTTTATTTTGCCTGATTATACATTAGTTTAACCTCTTTAGGCAACATTTAGTTTTGCTAGTTTACTGCTAGTTTGCTTTATATAACAACTGTATCTAATTGTAATGTTTATTTCCATACAAGTATGACAGGAACAAAAGAACCCACAATAACATGCTCTGCTGGAACAGACAGGAATTACGTGAGGGACTGGAAGCCTAGAAATGACAGATCATTAAAATGTAGAGGAGTTATTCATGCCAACTTTTTACCCTGGGCTCTTGCTAATTTCTGACCTTCCTCCATAAACTGGCTATGAGCTAATTTCACAATTGGACGTCAACTCGCTCTTGCTACAGAATGTCAGTCTGCGGAATTCCAGAGAAAGGTAATCTGTACACAAACTCTCTCTGACAGAATAATGGTAGCGGGAAATACACATTTATTTGTAAGCGGGCTTCCTTCCTACTTACTGCACATCTCTGTCAGCAGTAACGTCTCTTGATGGTTTTTCCACTTCATTGTTTGCTCTCAGAAACTCTCTGTTTTGCTGAAGTTTTGCCTTTCTGCTTTTATCTGTGCTGACAGCCCGGTGTATGACACTTTTATTGTTTGTTTCTGCGTTATTTCTTCAATTTCTCCCCCCCAGTATTCCCGGACATGGCTTAAAAGAAGATATGTGGAGCTGGTGCTTTTTGACACAAGTTCAATAACACACACATTTACACAAGCACACAAAGGTTACATTCCGTCTAAAGTTATAAGCTGCCAGCTCAACCTTGCACATAAGGAAGATGCCAGTTTTATGATGGCTGCAGAAACCTTAAAAGCCTGCTACAAATCTTTCCTTTCCTCTCCATCAAATAGACTTGGGGCTGCTCTAGCAAAACTCTTTACTGCCTAAACCATTCAAAGACCACCACAACTTATTTTTTCCATTACCTCCTTCTTCTCACTATTTATCCATAAGCTATTTTCTGAGGCGGCAAGGAAGCTGGGCTGTTTCTAGCCAATCAAATTACAAAAAATGGTTCCCAGAAAAAATGTCCCAGTCACATGAAGCTGGAGCGGAGTGGGTTATTTAGAAAATTACAGGCATTATTACTGAACCTGCTGTTGGCTGTTAGTGTCAGATGCACTATTATAAGTTGAGACTAGAATGGAAAGAGCAAATAGCTTTTGAAGGGTAAAAAAATGTCTTGGTGGCTTAAGGCTGGATAGAAAGGTGCAACATGAGATTTCTTTTCATTTCTGGGTAATGTGGTGGTTAGTGAAAGTGTCAATATGCACTGAATTGTAATATGCATGACTTAATAGGAAAGAGTACCAACTGAATTATGACCAATCGTAACTTTAGTTTGGTTAATTTTCATACATAAACATAAAGAAAATTAAATGTAATATCCACTGAGCTGAATTTATTATAAACAAATTGATTTTGTTTTTTTCTGTTTTTCTTTTAAATCTTGTAACGTACAACTATTTCTGTTGCTGTTTTTAATTATTTTCTGACTATTATCATAGCTTATCAAACAATTTCAAGCTCTACCGTTTTGTGGTTTTATGGTGTTTTTTTATATATATATTGTGATTGATTGTTACATTCATCTTTTAACCTTATGTGAGCCTACAGCTATAGCTGCTGTATTTTTACTAGTATGTTGTTGGACTTATTCCTACATAAGAATTAGAAGGCATTTGTCCTAAAAGATGATGGCAAAACATCAGATAAATAGATAGAATTTCATTATTCCCTTTGGTTAACTGAGAAGACTTATTTTAGGCAACCAAAAATTTCCAACCTAAGAATTTTTTAGATGTCCTCAGCTAACTAGGTAATGTTTTGCATTTCTTTTTTTCAAAATAACTGGATCAAGTTTTCACTCATTAGTCTCAAACCTTGTTTTCCTAACCCTTCACACTTCTTTATTCCTCACGTTGCATTGTCCTGAGGAACTCACATCTACGCTGGTGAATGGCTCTGAGATGTAATTACCAGTCACTTTAATTGAAAGCGGTGAACACGAACACATGGCTCGCAGACAACTACATGAATTAATGCTGTGCGGAGGAGCCGCTGAGCACCAGTTAGCATTAATTTCAGACACCACTGAGATCGCTGACACTTATCCTGCTTTCCTTCACCAGGAGCAGCCAGACAACAACAACAACCAGAGGAAAAAAAAACACATTCATCTGCAAATCTTTCCTCTTAAAAATGGAGGAATCACCCTCACAAAAACAAGTGTTATGAACACCATCAATCCAAAATAGGTCATCAAACAATATTTCACTTTGCAAAATCTTTTGCAGGCGGGAAAAAGACACATGCTCCGTCTAGTACTGTATCTAGGCCGACTCTGATTAATTAGCCGTGTTGTACTGTTGTGTTGTGGCATTTTGAAGGAAAGAGGAGAGAAGAGAAAGGGAGGGAAAATGAAGGAGAGATGAAAATAGAGAGGTAATTAATCAGTGGTGTGGTGAAAGAGCAACAAACAGGAGCGACTGACGGAGCTGCAGGACCAGCAACCAATCAGTCGGGGCCTGGAAATGCTACGCGGACACTTCATCAGTGTGACATGTGGCAACGTGTGGCTGAAGGAGTCACATTCTTCACATTGTCCCCTCAGAGTAAAAACATATTTACATGCTCGTGTGTGCATTGTTGGCTTATTGGTGGCTATCATCAATCCTTCGACTGAGACTTGCCGCAGATGGGTCTCTTAAAGGTCTTTATGTAACAAATGTATTTCCTTTATTCGCACGTTCATAATATTTTTCAGCCTGTGTTCGATCAAAGTCACTTTTTTTCCACAGAAAACCCAGAAAAGGAGTTTCACTGGACTGAACCACATGTTGGTTTAGTCACTGCTTCAGAACTGGAAGATCATTTGTCACTGGTGACCAAGGGCGCTGTCAGGACATTCTGGGCCCCAATAAAGGACATGACAATGGGCCCCTCAGTAACACGCTTAATAACATGAATGTACTTCATACCCTGCAGTATTCACTACTTGATGCAAGACAGATACCCACTACAAAGATGCAATAATTTCTTGGGGGGGGGGGTATCAGTTAGGGGCTCGGACTCGTCCTAATCCCAATGTTCCCCCTTTACAGCGCCCCTGCTGGAAACTAGAGAAATATTTTGGATACTTCTATCAACGCAAAGTCCATTCAAATCAATGTAGGAAATAAGATGACTGTGGCCACATAGTGGCGAATGTTGGTAGAGCTCTGGCCATAGGTATGAATATGAGTGAATGGTTGTTTGTCCCCATACGTGGCTCTGTGATAGCCTAGCTAACTGCCCATGGTGTACTCCGCCCTCACCTTTAGATAGTTGGGATTGACACCAGCTCCCCCTGCGACTCAAAAAGTAAATAAGCTCTAGATAACGAATGAATAAAAAAATGTAGTCTTGAATAGTTTCAATCGATAAGGTCTCATTAAAATGAACAAAGATGTGTACAGTTTAAGGACAAACAAGTCGTTATTGTTGTGGAAGGTCCACAAAGATGAACCAGGCTCATGTAGACCTGCTCCCTTGATGAACCAGGCTCATGTAGACCTGCTCCTAGAACATCTTTTCCACAGATAATTTATTGCCCCATGAAAAAAATGTGACAAGCAAATGGATTGCCAAGGAGAAGTTTTTTAAACTTTTGTCTCAGAGGGTATTCATGTCGACAGTACCATCACTTTTAGAGAAAGATTAACTACATTACCTTCTGCCCATCAGCACGGAAACACATTCATCTTCCTTCTCTGCTAACATTTAGCGGTGTCGTCTGTGAACATCATGGTCTATGGAGCTATCTGGCTAACCCCACGTGTCAACCTATGGTCACTGGATCAATGATGTACACTGACACGTTTCATTTGTAACCACAAGAACCTTTTCTTGTAAGTGGAAAACTTGGATCATGATCCTAAAGCCACTGTTGGGGCTCTTTACTTTTTTCTCAATTTAAAGCAATTACAATCCTTTCACAAAATGCAAGATGAACAGCCCAACATTGACCAAGACTAAGAAAAAATCCATTTGTAAGCAGGTCAGAGAACAGGCAGACCCTTCGACCATAAGCTGATAGAGCCTCATCCAGCAGTCATGACTCAGCACGGACTTCACTGAACAGCTATTACTGTAACTTCTGGGCAGAAATTTTCCAGCCACACTCAGAACTGCTGCTGCTGCAGCTCTAGGACTTTTTGAGCCAATGCTGCTGTTCAAACCTCTGCTGCGACAGAAACACGCTCAAGTTTTTCCCCCACTCTAAATCAGGGGTCTCAGAGTACTAGAAAAAACGTATTTTAACAAACTAATAAAATATTTCTCACTTTCTTAGTGGCCAGATGCACTGACAGTGCCTGGTTCAAAACAAATTCCCTCATATTTTCTTAATACAATAACAAAAGCATGAAAACGTTTGTTCTTTTACCTCATGTAACTTCCAAACTGTGCTAACTTTGTATTTTTAACCCCTGGAGAGCTTCAGATGAAACACTTGGGTGTATGTCTTAAGTCAAAAAGCTATAGGTCATGCTCCCCCTGCTTAGGAAAACCCACCTGAGTGAAGAACCACAGTGTTATAGACATCTAGTGCGGGCCAAAGATGGGACATTGTTTGGGCCAGAAGATGGCTGCAAGCCAGGAGTTTGAGACCACTGCTCTCAATACTTTGTATTTAGTTTGACAGAACACACTGTTCCTGTTGCTTTAATTATTACAGTTAACAAAAAGTGTTTTACTTTCTTAAAAATCATTAACAATGACTTTACAACTGCAAGTGAAAAAGTTTTGACCAAGAGGTTTTCAAACCACATGAAAGACTTACAGTTAATAAAAGGCTTAAAACAGATATATTTGTAATTTCGTTTTACTGCCAACAGAGGTCATTGTAAGCCGGTCTGTTCTCAGTGGATGTTTTAGTGAGAAACACGGTTATGATTACCTGTTAGTCTTGATGACAGGAGTGGGCAGCACACACGTGAGCCTCCATCCATATGTAGCCAGAGACTGAAGCAGGGGAACATAATCAGTCTTCACCTGCAGACCCTGTGGAGAAACACAAGACGACAACAGACGTCACAACCTGCAATTAGGGAAAATAAAAAAATAAAAATCAGTGTCTCAAAACACTCGCTGTCTCGCTGTGATGGAGAGAATGCATGTGTTTTGTCTTGCTAAGGGCATTCATCGCTGTGATTACAGCTGTGGTGGGGATGGTAGTGGGGGGGCTTGCATCTGTAAAGATTACTAATGGAAAATACGGTGATGTGAATCACATTACAGAGTCAAACCGGAATAAACCAGCTCATACATTTGAATTATGCAAATCTGGGCCTCTTGAAAAAAATTGCTGTCAAAAACAAAACAATTCTAGCGTTATCACATTGACTGAAATATGTGTTAGTGGACAAAAACAAAAATAATGGATAGCTGATGAGGACACGGTAAATAATTTAAAGAAAGAACAGAAGTTGATGATTGGAGATTGGGGGTGGACTTAGATAAAGGTTGTTTAGGAAAGATACACGTAAAAATGACCCAAAACTACAACCAAGAAAATCATATTCTAATGAATGATCTACATATTATAGAACAAAAAAACAATGTCTCCTTTTATTTTTAATAACCAATATTTACACAGATTTACTTCCTGTACACACACAGTTATGTTACTTTTCATCATCCTGGTGTGAACTAGTGTGAATATAACTGATACTCATTCACGTTGAACAGTCACACACTGCAGCTTTAAGATGACATTAGACAGAAGTTCAACAGTGTATCAGTGTGAGCACTCAGATGAAGCATGAGCCTCTACAGTCTCCTCTGTTTGAGGTTATAATTTAAAATGATACAAACACACACCACACACACACACTTGTGACTTGTCAGTCTATACTAAAAGTGAAAAACTGCCTCACCAGGTAATAAAATCTCTTGATAGTTTCACACAAAAAAACTCACATGCAAAAAGAGAGGCATAATGTAAGCAAAAGACATGTCTCTTTTAAGTACTAATTATATTCTTAATATTATTATTATTATTTTTTATAGCAGGTAGTATACATCTTAAAACTGTTATTTCCCTCTAAATGGGATTGCAGTTTACTGAATTTAGACCCTGTGTTTTAAAGTCAGGAAAGGTTTTCAGTATCTACAGAACTGTCACATAAATATGATGAAAAAACTGATGAAACTTGGGAAGGACTTTTGACATTTCAGTGGCTTCATGTTGTTGTTGATGGCACTTACGTTCTTTTAACTTATTTATTTTCCACGTAGGTAAAATATGGAGGTATACAAAAATCACACTCGCCTCAGTTTACAACCAATGCATTCTATATCACATTACCTACAGTCATACAAACACCGATTTTGTTCCAAGATAAAAAAAAAAACAAAAACCTTTTTTCTACACTAAAATCAGATTTAAAAAAAAAAAAAAATCGAACTACCTGACAGAGTAATTCTTAACAGCAGTAAACATAAAAGAACTCTCTGCCTCTCTGTCTGACTTCTGCTCCTGCTTCTCTCTCTATTTCTCTCTTTTACGTGAATAAAACAATTAAAGCTGCTGCTTTTAAACGTTATGAATTGCCTGAGAACCCACCTTCACCTCGCCATCACCATTTGGATAATTGCTTTTAAATGCTCACATTGTTATTCTCTAGCATTTTTCTTCTGTTTTCTCTCCACAGTAAAAGCCTCCAGTGACTAACCGTGAACAGCGCTGGCTGATCCTTTGTTTTGCTAAGTGCCTCACTCATCCTGTGTTATCAGGCCACAGAGTTTAGTCTGGGTTCAAGAGTCGACTAATGCTTCCTAAAAGTCATTTTTGGATTTACTCTGCGTGGCTTCCATTTAAGCTCTGCGGTTACTGCAGCGCACAGGGCAAGACGGGGAAAAACATCTCCTGATCGTGTTTGAATGTCTTTGAGAGAGTCTGAAAAAATATAGGGCTGAAGGCAGTGTCGGCCAAGTTCAAAACACACAAATAGGTTTTATGTTAGTGTAAGTGTCTCATTTTCAATGCAATCACCCAAATGAGAAAGGGCAAAATATTTTCAAAGAGGTACAAATGGATCTAAATAAGATAATTTTCTATTAATCTTAAATGGAAATCTAGGGTTGTTGGTTTTAACAGTTTTAATAATCACAATAATCTAAATCTCACTTTTGCAAAGTCACTGGGAACGATTTCAAACATTTCGTGTTTAGCGCTGACAGTCACTGAAAGGGAACAATTTCAAACATTTCGTGTTTAGCGCTGAAGAAACCTAATAATACGACTAAAAAAAAAAGAATTTAAATGTACAAGTTTAGCCAAGTAGAGAGAAATCAAGAATTTAAATGTACAACAAGTTTAGCCAAGTAGAGAGAAATCAGTTTTCTACGGCTCTTTAGAACTCCTGCTGTAATCACAAAAACTCAATAGTTATTCAGGCCAAAATCTTCAAGTCAATCAAAAAAGTCTTACATCTACAATTATATGTTAACTATGACCTAACCAAGAAACTGTAAAATAGATGACAAGTTCACCGATGAACTGAGGAGACAGGAAGAATGTTGCACATCCTGAACAATGGGAAGAAAATGGTTGCTGAACAAGAATTAGATGATGGTCACTTGAATACAAAGGATGCTGTAGAACCGATTATTCTGTCAAACTCTTAAGATCTGTTTTAAATCCATAAAAAATTTAAAAAAAAAAAATACAAAAGAGAGCAGACGTAAGACCAGGGATAAAAATAAAAATGGAGACAAAGTGTTCACCATTAATGTCCTTCAAAAGGTCAACCACATTTGAAATGGCGGTAACGGTGCTCGAATTGCATTGGTCGCTGGATTTATTTTGGTTGCTGTGACAACACCGAAGGTTGAGTGAGTCCATGTACAGCTGTGTTTAAAGGTCCATTCTTTTTTTTTCCTTTTTTTAAGGTATTTACTCCATCATTACTGGACTGTCTGTAAACCTCTCCAGGCTAGGAAAAAAAAACAACCAAACCAAAAAAAACCCATCTCAACAACATTCAGAATTAATGAAGAACTCACTCCCAGTTTGTTGTGTTCATCTAGCACAAGTTGGCAGACGGAGTTTAAAGAAAAAAATAATAGATTTCTTCTTTGTTTCATGTGACTCTCAAAGTGCACAATGAACTTTTAATCAACCTGCAGTTGAACCAAGCCTAAACTTTAGGAGAATAAACCCCCTGAACAGTAATGTTATGTTTTTCATAGTACTGTCAAAATGAACAAGTTAATCAAGCAATCGATATTCACAAAGAAGAATCAAAACAGCATTTCTAACGCATAGAAACATAGACATGCACTGGTGGCGCTTTGGCCCAGAGGCAATGTCTCTGTCATTGGTGTGGAACCCCAGGGTTCACCTCCTGGGCAAGTTTGAATCCCGGTTAGTGCGGTTAACACCTTACAGTGGACTCACCACTTGCAGGAAGGTTTGGGGGGTTGGTACGGTGCAGTGTGATTTGGGTGGCGACTGCTGCCCCCGCGACTCGGTAACAGATAAGCAGATGACAATGGATGGACATGCACTGTTCATCCGCTTAGGACTGCTCTTATACACCGTCTTGTCATTTGAACACAGTGCTGGAAAGCATTTTTGTTTCACAAAGCAGTTCCATCTGAACACCTAGCATACGCTAATAGAGGCTTCAACTTCAGGTCAGGCGCCTGGCTTGTGTCAGACCAGCCTCACTTAGTGCAGGACAGTATGTTTACAACAGACAAGCTGACTGACAAAATCGTCAAAAGGATTGCGAAGGACTGACTAATATTGTTGAGGGCAACTTTTCCACCCACTCTGTGAAGTTATATTTTTACTTTTGTATATTTTTTCTGACATTTCTCCTCAGTAATAATTCCAACATTTGGATTGGTCACAAAAAAATCTCTGTTCCAGTTATATACAGAAAAATAAATTTTGGTCATATTTAGAAACGTTGATACAGTTGCTGTGAATAATCAGATATAAAATTGTAATTGTTTTGCCAACCCAAATTATTTACCCAATAACTACGGCTGCACCAATCAGGATTAAAGGCGATCTTCTGTGATTGGACAAAGAAGGAACGATGCAGCTGTTCCACATTGTCTGATGTCTGAAACTACAGTTGTAAGTTTCTCTGCACCACTGGTAGCTGCTGGAAACGCTCTGCCTATGAACCAAGGGTCTGTCACTCAAAGGAGGAGCTAAAGGAACGCGGCCGTCTTTCTTTTTCACTTTAAACTGCTTGAAGACTGTCAAGGCTGTAAATGCAGCCGAGCAGATGTGTGGGTACAATTTTCTCTTTCTTAGTTCCCACTGGGAGCTAATGAGAAATCACTGATCAATAACACACACACACACACACACACACACACACACACAAACCCTTCCAGAGGCTTATATGCAACAGCGGCCATTTGTAAAACCAACAGAGCACTTCTGACTGCCAGTCTATATCTTATATAGAGTCTATAGCTGTGACGCAGCAGCACTGTCCACAGATCAATGCTGTAAATTCACTGCGTCTTTGTCCGTCTTAACAGATGTTCTCTTCCTTTTTTCCCTTTTTAAATTGGATTTACCAACATTTGGACATGATCTAAGGTGCTGGTTAAAAGTTGGCTCCTCTGTCTCCCAACAGGGGAACACTTTTTATCACTTCTTAGATAACAGCCAGGACAGAGATGCTGAGGTGATTGCTTTTTTTATCCTGCTTTTATTTAGGATCTCACGTTGGTGCTGATGCAGCACAGTAGCCGCTGCATTGTAATTCAGGAGAGGGAAAGGTGGGTCTCACTTTGGGCGGGGGGCAGGGGGGCTGTGATTTAACTCTCACCTCCTCCGAAGAACAGCAGGCCATTACAGACAAAAAATATTTCTCAATTTAGTTTCCTGGAAGAGGCTTTGAACAAGCGTGAGAGCGATTCTCGGAGGAGTTCCAACATAAACCGGCTAAAAAATGTAGATGCTCCCCTCCCAGCAGGAACTCAGAGGAGAAATGCTTGTGAAAATAATGTCTGCAGCAGTTGTCTGGCTC